TTGACTTTGGGCCGCCACACCTGTGGTACTCGCCCAGCCTCACCCGTGTTGTTATGACTCAGCAAAGGCCGCTGCGCTCAGTAGGCTGCCTAACACGCTCCATGTCTAGGACCCCAGACACCCAGCCAGAGCGCAGCGGGGCCGCCATCTACCCTGGCCACTCCCATTTCAGAGCCTAGCCTCAGAAACAGCCATCTCTTCAAAGTCCCGCTTTTCTTTCTCTACCACGGATCACATATCATTAAATCAAAGAACTCACAGTTAGGTACTATATTATTCTATATCAATAATTCATATACACTTTAGTTTTACAAAGTACAAGATGCAGATATACTATATATATGTGACTAAATGCAGTGCTTGTGCTCACTTCTATAAAAAGTAGTGCAAGACAAGAGCTCCCTCATATAACACCATGCCTACCGAGAAATTACACTCAACTTATGGCATCTTTTCCAAAAATGTTGCTTACTCCAAGACCAAGGAACGTCTCTATGGGATTCAACCTTCCAGCTGGACTATCAGCTTCTTGAGGGTAGGGCATTTGTCTTTTCCATCTTTGTATCTCCATATCTAGCACAGGGTCCTTCTCATTAGTAAATGTTTGTTATTCATCTGATAAACAGAGGGGGAAAAAAGACAAACATTCTCAACAGACATTAGTACTTTAGGTCAGAGAGCCAAGGTAAGGATAGATGATTTGAGGAAAGCCTTTACAAGGAAAGAGGTATCTGTCTCCCAGATAAGGAAGCAATTTATTCTGTTAAGGAATTTTAATTTCCTAAATCACCTTAAATTCATGTGAGAGGTATAGGATAGGAATGTCATAAATTCTGGTAGAGAAACTGAAAAGCTGTTACATGAGATGCCTTTTTCTAAGAGTCAACCATGCTTCCCTCTTTCATGAGCATTCCTGTATCTTTCGGATACCAAAACTTCTAGGTTCCTGCCTGTAAACTGATCCTGAAGCAAATGTCAGCTTTCCCTCTAAGAAAATAAATGAAAAAAGTGGGGTAGTCATTAGTAACACTCAAAGCTATTGCAGGTTTCCCCCAGTCCTGGGCACATGGCAGGAAGGCACTTCCCTAGCCACTTAGGTGTGGGCAGGTGACTTGCCCGGACCAATGAAATGTGAGTACAGTGAGTATAGTGGGTACAGCGCGGCACTTGAAGAGCCAGGGCACAAGTGTCCAGCTGGAAGTACGTGTTGAGGAGGATTTCATCAGCCTGAACACCCAAGTGACTACAGTGAACAGAGACACCTCATCTACCTAGATTGATACAAACATCAAGCCTGACAAAGGGTTCTCAACTAGGGAACCCTCTCTTGCATCATAAAGGATAACAGCAAGAACAGAACTGATCTCAATTCCAGCCTTTTAGGGCACCTACAAATCAACAAAGTAATATGTAATGTGTTTTATCTGCAACATATCCAAGTAATATCATTAATAGTAAGTTTTACTTACTATTGACTACAATCTTGACAAACATTGGGTTTTATTGAAAAGGGAGGATAACAAACAGAGAGCTCTAAAGGTCAGATTTTGCTGTCTTGTGTACACTATCATCCTAATGCCCTTAACCATTACTAAGGGATGATTAAACAAAGTAAATAGGCTCTCTGCAATTTCAAGTGGCAGACAATGAGTCAGTGCAAAGTTCAAGTAAGGAAAGTGAAGTAGTGCAGCAGACATTAAGAGTGGTTTGGAGCAGTCTCAGCTTTTCTTTCTTTTTAAACAAAGTATAGTGATGTTAGAAATTTAAGAAATCATCATTGCTAGTCTCTGTCAGTTGTTCTGAAAGGATAAGATATTGGCCTCTGAAAAATATCCTGCTACAAAATTCTTACCCATCAAGCATCAGCAGAGAAGGGCTCAGGATACACTGGGGCCAAAGGTTGGCCTAGGTTCCCCTCCTCTCTCTTAGGCTTAGCCAGAAAGATGCCATAAGTTGAGTGTAATTTCTCGGTAGGCATGGTGTTATATGAGGGAGCTCTTGTCTTGCACTACCTTTTATAGAAGTGAGCACAAGCACTGCATTTAGTCACATATACATAGTATATCTGCATCTTGTACTTTGTAAAACTAAAGTGCATATGAATTATTGATATAGAATAATATAGTACCCAACTGTGAGTTCTTTGATTTAATGATATGTGATCCGTGGTAGAGAAAGAAAAGCGGGACTTTGAAGAGATGGCTGTTTCTGAGGCTAGGCTTGTTCTCGGAGATGTCTACTGAAGTATTTAGGGATGAGAGGTCATGACGTCTACAACTAACTTGGATGGGTCGAGAAGAAAACTATATACGTAAATAGAGAGATGTAAAAGCAAATGTACCAAATGTTAATAACTGGTGAATGTAAGAACAGATATAAGGAGTCTATGGAGAGAAGCAACAGGCTTTAGTGACTGACTGGTTATTGGTGGCAAAGAAGAGGGGGGGGCAAAGTTTTGATGTTCTGAATGTACTTGCCAGAGGATGGTGGCAGCCCCAATGGAAAAGGGAGGCTGGAGGAGGAAGTTTTCAGGAGACACATGCCGAATCTGGCTCTGGGTAAGAAGTGGCAGGAAGAAGTAAGATGCTGGAATGAAAGGAGTAAGAAATGCCATGCAGCAGTGGGAAATACAGGGATGGGACTCAGGCCATACTGGACTAGAAATGCCAAGTTTGGAAATTACCCAGACGGATAATTTAAGTAGGAGAACAGGATGAGATCCAGGCTAGAAACAGGAGTGTGAGAAGAGCGAGGTAAGAGATGACTGACAACATAAGTTAGTGACAGAGATGGGAAGAGAGTAAGAGAAGAGCCAGGAAGGTTCTATGTAACAGAAGCACAGGTGGAAAAAGGACTAAGAAGGCGGTACTTCTTGGAAGGATCAGTATGATCGAATGCTGCAGAAACCTTCCAGAAGGTGATACTGGTAAATAGGATTAGGAAAGTATCAGTGCCTTTTGGGTGAGAGTGAAAACCAGGAGACAGGGCTCCAGAAAGGGAACAGATGAAGCAGAAATGCAAACTGCATGCAAATCACTCATGCATTCAAGATGTTCACCTTAAATGCAAGAGTGGAGATGAGATGCCAGTTAAAAGAACAAGAGAAGCAAGGGAAGAGCTGGATTCTGTGAGAGACTGCAGCCACAGCTTAGAAGGAACAGATACAGACAGCTCAGAGACACTGTGGTGTATGGCGGGGAGAGACAGGAAGAGGATCTGGCTCTACACATGGGACGAAACACACTTTCCTTTAAGCCAGAAAGAAAGGGAGAGAGAGGAGCTGAAGAGACTTAGGGTAGAGAGGTTTCTTCAATCCAGAAGGATGAAGTTCAAGGTGACATTCCTATTGTCTTCTGACAGGTCCTCTGCCTACCTATCAGCAGAAGATACGCCTGAATTAGCAACCGCTCTACGTGAGGGCAAAGACAAGTCTGAGATGGAATTAAAAAAAGTCACCTGCTGTAGGACACTTTCAGACAGTGTAAAGGTGAGCAGGGTGAGGTCCTGGCTCCTTGCGCCATCACTTTCCAAAGATCTCAGGAAATATGGATGGTAATTTCCTGATGTCACATGAGCAACTAATAATAGACAGTTTTATAAACTATAAAAGGAATCTGCAGCAGCAGCAAACTACTTTATGGAACTTATTTAAAGATAAGACACAGGAGAAAGAACAACATTTTGATGGCTTTTTACTTCCTTTTAAAGCCACCGTCACTAGCAGGGAGGGACACCGGGTTTGACCTATGGCTCACCTTAAAGGAAACTACAAGATAGCGCCTTGACCAACTGACATGCTTAAAGCAACTCTAAATGCTTACGAAGAGGAGGCAAAGAGGTCTCTGAAGCTTCTAAGATTCTTTCATATGAAAAGGGAGAGTGACCACTTCAAAAGCACCAACGAGCTCTGGATGCCTTGGGCCTATCAGGGAGCCCCAAGGCAAGTATCTCTGGCAAGAATGGGCTTCTGTGATTCTCTTGTGCCAGGATGCTCAGGGAGTCTTAATGCCAAGCTAGGTGTTGAGAGAGAAAACTTCACTCATTCCAACATCCAACCTTAAGAACGCACTCACTGCATTCGCCCAGAGAGTGTCATCTGAGAATCTCAGGAGAGTTAACAGAGACTGAAGATCCTATTGAAAAATGACAAGAAAGTCCTCTAGATGGCAATGCTAGCAATGATGGATCTAAAAACAACTACCTCGTTGGCATGAAAATAGAGTAATAAAGGATCATGGCTTAGCAATGAGTCGTTGTCTCCTAAAAAATCATTCGCTCTCTCCAAGGGCCATGGAGCATGGTGACAACAATCAGCTGAAGAAAACCGGGAGCAAACACACCTAAGGTGAACAGCACTGGATACAGCATGAGCCCAGGTGGATAAAATACATGAGACAGCTCCTATCCCCTTGTTAGCTATCTCCCACCTTTAACTCGGCACATGGGGACATAGGCCATGTCAAAGTGATGCTAGCAGCACAAATCTGAGAACATGTACTTTGTACCACTTCAATTCTGCCTGACATCAGCTTCCCTACAGAATATCACCTAACCTCAAACTCTGTTATAAATGTCTGAGTCACTGTGTTACTCCTTGGGAGTAACTAGCTAGGTCAAAGACCCTGTGTCATGATTCTTCCAAAGCTTCACTGTCACTGGATTATGCCAAGGGAACTCACTTTACAATCAACATCAAACAATTTCTCTCGCCATTGGTGTAGCAGCCAGTCATTATAGTGACATCACTGCTCTCTACCAAGAAGTCTGTCTGTAAAGAGATGAACCATGACATAGGTCTAGTAATCTCATGTTGTGTTAAAACTGGTAACAGATCTTAGCAAAACACTCCCCAAACTATTAAACTTAAGTTATTGAATGAAACACGTCTGGGACTACCCCCAGAGTAAAAAGCCACAAGAAAGAACATAAAGGTGTAGAGGTGGATAGAACTATCCTAGGCTTTTAATTTTCTAGTAACCCTGGTTAGGGAGAGAAGGTACCTTATCCATATGGAAGATCAAATCCAATTCACAAACATTTTCAAAACACTTATCCAGGGTCTCCACAAAAACCTAGGAAACAAGAAAAAACAGATCAAGAAATAGAAACATATTCACATCTTCATAAATGTCACATTTGAAAGTAAAGAGGGGCAGTCACAATACTACTTACCTTATGATAAATCTCAAAACAAACCAAAAAACTACCAGCTTCAGGCAATCACCCTACCTATCCCAATTTAGAGGGCACAGTCTAGGACAGGACAATCTTGTTTTTAGTATAGCAATACAACCAGCAGCAGACACATGGGCTTTTCTTCCCCCTTTACAAGGTGCTAATTTACATAGAAAAATAACAAACTGAAATACCAACTACTGCAGTCCTTTCCACAAGCCTCCATGTATACCCGTACAAAAAATTTTTACTATTACGGTGTTATCATAGTTTTGTCCTGCTAATTCCAGTTAACATTAACTTCAAAACACCTTTCCATGAATCACTTAACATACTCACAATTTTAAGTTTTTAACTTAATATAACATTTAAACAGAAAAGCAGACAAATGATGAGTACAGCTTAATGAATTTTCAGAATGAACACATCACATAATCAACCGCCACCCAAATACTGCAATGGAATCCTCCCAGCTCCTAGATGCTTTCTTCATGCCCCTTCAGACAAAACACCCTCTCCAAAGGTAGCCACCATCCTGAGTTCTATCATCTCAGTTTAGTTCTTCCTGTCTGTGAATTTACATAGGTGACATCATACAACATGTATTCCTTTGGTCTGACTTCTTTCATTTAACAGTGCTGGTGAATTCCTCCATGCTGCTGCATGTCATAAAAGCTTGTTCATATTCACTACTGGATAGTATTTCATAGAAATATTTATGCATTCTCCTACAGATGGGACACTTGAGTTGTTTTCAGCTTTTGACTGGCTATAAACTAATAGAAATGGAAATCATATTTCTAGCTACTTTGGAAAACTCTTTGACATTATTTACATTATTTATTATTTATTGTTATTTTATTGTTTCAGCAATTCTACTCCTAGGTACATACCCAACAGAAATTTATATATATATGTATATACATATATATGCCAAAAAAACCAACATAATTTCATAACAGCACTATCTATAACTCTTTACATTTTTATCAGTGGCTGAATTTTTTTCTATAAGGATAACATACTTGAATAGGGGCTTATTTTCAATCCCTGGGCACTTGGTGAGCCCTTACAATCTAGCAACTCAAGTCCTTCAGTTTGGGAAAATTTTATCAAATAATTTGGTTGAGAATTTCCCCCTTTTCCTGTCTCTAGTCTTTCTTTTTGGAGCTGCTTCTGCTGATTTGTATCTGCTGATAACTGGAATTAGCAGCTGAGGTACTAGACCTCCTCATTTTCTTATCCTTTCCCTTCCAGTTTTCTCTCAGGTCTTTAATTTCTAAGAGAACATTTTGTTCCATCTTTCTTTTTTATTTAGCAGACCGTCTTTTTTGTTTTACTTCCCTGTGGTTTGAAGACAGGCGTTTGTTTTACTGTTGTCCTTTCTTTTATGGTCTCTATTTCCTCTACATTGCTTTTTCCGGTTTGTTCATTTTAGTCTTCACCTTCCATGTTAGAGGCTTTCCTCAGATTACTGATTAGCCTTGTTTTTTTAGTCCTAAGAATCAAAAGCTGACTGGAAGCTCTGCAACCCTAGCTATTTGCTGGGGATCCTCCCCTTCATCCCTTTAGGCTTTTTTATTCCTTCCCCTCAGATTGCTCAAATTTCCCAGAGAAATTTTACAATCTCCAGCCTGAAGATGAAAAGACGAGCTACCCGAAATTTGGGAGCAGAGTGGTGGCAAAGGGCTAGGAAGTCAGTATACAACATTCACAAGGCACACGTTCACTGATCCCCTTGCCGTGCACCATCAACCATGTCTGGTGTCCCCCAAACCAGAGACCCGGGCCTGGGGAAAGGACTTAGGGAGCTAACTGCTGCTCAGGCAGCTTTCCCTGCCCAACTCCACACCACACACAGGGGCTGTGCTGCCAGCTCTGAGCCTCGTGAGGCTTACGTGCAGTGAAGCAGCGTGGCTGTCAGCCTTCTCTACTGCTGGCCCAGGATGTGGCTCCCTTGGCCTTGCCAAGTCAATTACCATATTCTTTCCTCCTTTCAAAAAGTTCCTTGCTATTGTTTCCTCTCCTGTTCTGTGTGCGTGCGTGAGTGTGTGCGTGCGTGAGTGTGTGCGCGCGTGCGTATGTGTGTGTGTGGCCTCTAGTTTTAAAGGAAAAAAAATGAACTTAGAAGTGTGGAAGTTCCCAACAGGACTTAAAAAAAAAACAAAAAACTAACAAAGTTCTTAACAGAAAATAAACCGTGAAAATACTCTGCCAAGAATGTTTAGAAAAACAATGTTAATAAGGAATGACTAGGCATCAAAATTCATTGCAAAGCCTTGGTCATTAAAATAGTAAAATACTAAGATAGAAATACAAGTATGGATCAATGGGACAGGATATAAAATACTGAAACAGGGTACCTGGGTGGCTCAGTCAGTTAAGTATCTGTCTTCAGTTTGGGTCATGGTCCCGGGGTCCTGGGATCGTCCCTGCTCAGCGGGGAGCCTGCTTCTCCCTCTGCCTCTGCCCCTCCCCCTGCTAGTGCTCTCTCTCTCTCTCTCTCTCAAATGAGTAAAATCTTTAATAAATAAATAAAATACTGAAACATACACATGTGTATAAGAAAATACATTCCTCTCCCCCTCCCAGATGTGGTAAATCATTTTAATTATTGTCAAAGGCATAATCCAGTTTTGGAAATTTGTTAAAAGGTTAAAATTCATACAAAACCTGCCATAAATTAAGACAGAGGTAGATTAAAATGCATCATATCGATCTCTTAAAGCAATACCTTCCATAAAAAGCAAAGGTGGGCTTCTGCCTTTATGCTGAACAATGCTGGCTCTAAAATTCTATGCAATTCTCAACAAAAATGAATTCTCTGAAATTATTTTCCACTTATTGTGAACCTCCATAGACCAAATTCAAAAGCAAATCATGATAAAATCTACCATCGTCTTGAATTCTGTAGTCCAGGAATTTCAGACAAACTACGCTGAAAAGCCACTCCAGTGAAGCACGGGGACACATCATGGGCACTCTGGGTTTTGAAGCTTGAGAAAATTAAAAAGTTGATTTTGTGTGTAGTATTTTTAGATGTAATCTAGGAAGACCAAAACCATGAAAGCCATAACAGTCTGTGAAAGAGTCACTGGAGCCTCCTGTCACCAGGCTGCCTCCATGCCCAGCGCCACATTCACGTAGCCTCCAGTGGGTGGCACCACCAAATCCTCTTCCTCTCCCTCTACAGCACGTGCCCCTCCTCTTCCCTGCCCTACAAGGTTTGGGGGCACTTCATCGTACATGGGGCCTCTCATGCAAAGAAAATACAATTTTTGACAAAGGTGGTATTTTGAATTGGTGGGGAAAAGCTGTACTAGTTGACAGTGCTGGGACAAATGGCTATCCTTCAGGGGAAAAATTAAAGATAGTTGCCTATCCCAATACAGACATAAAATACCTTACAGGTATTACTGAGCTAAGTGTAAAAAACAAACTAAAAAAGCAATGGCAGATCTCCTTTGTGCCACTCAGGTCTCTTGGTCAGTCTGTGGGAAGCTTCTGGGTGGCTGGTATTGTTAAAAGCGCTGCCCCAGCAGCCAGGACTCTGGAGTAAGATGCCCAGAGCATATGTGAGGAAAGGGAGACCATATTTCTCAGCAGCACTGTGCCAAGGGGCTGTTTTTATTAAAGAGGGTTAATGAAATTAAGATTAGTGTAGTAGTCGTCTTGGGCTGCCATAACAAAATACCACAGGCTGTGTGGCTTAAACAACAGAAATTTATTTTCTCAGTGTTGGAGGCTAGTGATCCCAGATTAAGGTCTGGTAGGATTGGTTCCTGATGAGGGCTCTCCTCCTAGCTCACAGACAGCCACCTTCTCGCTGTGTCTTTGATGGGACTTTCTTTGGTTTGTGCACATGGAGAGAGAGAAATCTTTAGTATCTCTTCCTGTCTTATAACAACATGAGTTGTATGGGATCAGAGCCCCAAGCTTATGACCTCATTTAACCATAATAACATCCTTAAAAGCACCCATCTCTAAATACAGTCACACTGGGGGTTAGGGCCTCAACATATAAATTTGAGGGGACCCAATCTACCCCATAACAATTGGGTTCTCAAATAGACCAGTAATACAGAATGAGATGGAATAGCTCCAGAAAAGATATCCCCAGATAAAGATCAAAAAAGAGCAGTCAGATGTATCTGTTTCTCCTAGAGCCTCACGATATCATCATTCAAGATGGTGATCAAGATCAAAAGAACATGAAAGTCAGATAATGTAGGAATAACATGCAGGAGCCAGAGCAGAAGCAAAGAGTATGCTAATGCGTGAAGAAACTGAAGAAGCTACAGGTGCAGATAGCAAAATAATAAGACATGAATCTAAAAATAAATCCTCTAAGAAATACAAATTTGAGGAACATATTGACAAAGAACATTCTTCTTATGAAGTAAAGGAGAGATTAAATTCATCTGAAAATGGTGAGGACAGACACAAACACAAGAAAGTAAGTCATCAAGAGGCAGAATTCACTCAAGACCTAAGTCTCACTAAAGGCATCATCACAGTAGAATCGGGGAGTGGAAATGTCTCGATCCAGGAACAGATCCAGAAGTCATAATCTAGAAGCAGAGAGAGGAAGAAACCATGATCCAGAAGCAGGGGAAGCACTGTAGATCAGATCTAGTTCCTGCTCAACACCAACAGGCACAGGGGTAGAAGGAGGAGCAGTACCAGATGAGACGTCAAGATATAAAGAAGACAATGGACAAACCAAGAAGAGTTAACAAAAGTTTAAGCCACACTCCTAGGCTACCTCTCTTCAGAGGCAGAAATAGCAATGGGTGCACAAAAAGCTTTAGCTAGGGGGCTGGAAAGGGCAGACGCTGGAAATTACAAGAACAGCAAGAAGAGGAAATTGTTGAAAACAAAAACAAGGGGCACCTGG